AGACCCCATTCTAGAACGTGCCAGGGCTTGCTTGGCTTGGGCACAGTTCCCCAGTGTTGACATGGCCTCCTTGACACGTGCACATCTGAGCTTGCAGACCAAGCCCGTGGATCCGACCGTGGACGGTGGTGCACAGGTGCAACAGATTGTGAACATAGAATGTGTGTGTGACTTCACGGAGGCGCCAGTCCTCAACATCCAGTTCAGGTGAGGAGCTCATGGGCCGGTGGGCTGAATGACCAGCCTGCTCTTGCCTGGGGCCTGGGGCTGTGGGGTTGTGCCTGCACATAGCCGTGTCCCTGGGAGGCCTTTGTTCTCGATGAGCTTCCGCTCCTTCCTTCGGAGGCTTTTGTGAGGGCTGAGGGGGTGTCCCAGGTGAGTGGCGGCACCCACCGTGTGCGCTGCAGTGTTAGGTGCATGGCGTTCGGGAAATGAGGGAGAGGCAGTGTGCGCAGGGTTGCGGGAGGCCCTGCGAGCCCGCGCTGTGTTGCTCAGGTCCTGTGCTCTCTAGCTGAGGGATGGGAACTGGGGGGCCTGCACTGTGGGGCCGGGACCAGCTGGGTCCTGTGTGCCCCTGTGCGGGCTGTTGTGTGGATGGTACCCTAGGCCCTCCCATCCGGGGGTGAATTGTTGCCCAGTGTCCCCTGAGCGTACATGCTGCTTGGTCATTATCCTTTTTAAGACTAATTTATTTTAGAGAGAGAGGGAGAGTGGGGGGAGGGGCAGAGAGAGAATCTCAAGCCGACTCCGTGCTGAGCCAGAGCCTGACGTGGGGTTCTATCCCAGGAGCCTGAGGTCAGGACCTGAGTGAAATCAAGAGTTGGACTCTTAACCCACTGAGCCACCCGGGTGCCCCGCATTTTATTTCTTATTTTTATTTTTATTTTTTAAAGATTTTATTTATTTATTTGGCAGAGAGAGACAGCGAGAGAGGGAACACAAGCAGGGGGAGCGGGAGAGGGAGAAGCAGGCTTCCCGCCGAGCAGGGAGCCCGATGTGGGGCTCCATCCCGGGACCCTGGGATCACGACCTGAGCCGAAGGCAGATGCTTAACCCACTGAGCCACCCGGGCGCCCCAACTTGATTATTTTTTAAAAAAAGCTATGTTTTGTGTTGCTACTGGGTTCCTGACTGTCCTTTTTCAGTGAGTGGGAGACAGTGTATGTGAACAACTGGCTTCTGTAGGGTGTTTGTAGGTTAAAGTTTTGGAAAAGCGTGTTTTCAAACATTAAAAACACAGAGAACTGAAACTGTGTACTTTGTAGAATAGGGAAATAGGCAAATTTTTGTTGCATTCTGTAGGCAAACACTTGTTTTCGTCTCTTTTCATAGAAAAAAGAAAAATCCCATACAATTTAAACCAACTTAGAGTTGTAGGAAATGGGCTGTGGGGGAAGTGAGGGGATGTAGAAGTCCGAGGTTGCTCCGAGGTTGCTCCGACAGGCCCGAAAGTGCCGGAGCTGCGCCGCCCAGACGCGCACACACAGGCTGGTGCAGTGCCCGGCTCGTTGGTCCTCGTCTGCCACCCTTCCAGAACATTCTGTTCCCACGCCCCTCCCACCCTCCGCAGCGGCAGGCATTCCCTGTGCCCCGTTGATTTGCAAACTAGGAATTTGGTTCTGTAGTTGAGATTCAGAATTTTCGGCGGCTCATGCGCTCTGTTCACTGTGTCTCTGTTGCTCGTAGGTATGGGGGAACCTTTCAGAATGTGTCTGTTAAGCTGCCTATCACACTCAACAAATTTTTCCAGCCCACAGAAATGGCTTCTCAGGATTTCTTTCAGCGTTGGAAGCAGCTGAGCAGGTGAGTGACGGGACGTGGAGTGGGGGCAGGGCCGGGTCCTCCCACGCTGACCTGGCTCAGTGTGGTGACTGTTGGTTTTACCTCCCAGTCCCCAACAGGAAGTGCAGAACATTTTCAAAGCAAAGCATCCAATGGACACAGAAATCACCAAAGCCAAGGTAAGGCCTGCTGATGGGTGTCCCCAGGGTTGGGACGCTGCCCGGGGCTCTGGAGGGAGGCCGCTTGTGTTGCTCTCCTTCCATCATCCCCGGTCGCACTGCCCTCTGCACTGCCCTCTGCACCTGTCTCTCTGTGACACAGATCATTGGGTTTGGTTCTGCGCTCCTTGAAGACGTTGATCCTAATCCTGCAAATTTCGTGGGGGCTGGCATCATACACACTAAAACCACCCAGATTGGATGCTTACTGCGTTTGGAGCCAAATCTACAAGCCCAGGTCAGACTTCTTGAGGAAATAGCTATATACGCCCGAGCTGTGTTCCGGTTGTGGCGTGATGTAGGTCCTAAGTGGAGTCGTCCTGATAGATGTGTCCCCCTGTGTAACCTCCACTACCCTGCTGATACGTAGAACATTTCTGTCACTCCAGAAAGTTCCCTGGGGTCCACTCTCCCTCCGTCTGTCTTGACCTCCTGTAGAGACCACTACCACGGGGCTGCCGTCCGGCTGGCCTGACCCTGTGCTCCAGCCCTCACCCTTGTGGTTGTGCGTGTGCACTCTTGGCTTACCTAGTCCTGTGGATGCACACCTGGGCCCAACCAGTTTGGGGCTGTGCTGTTGAGTGGAGCCACCGCGCACCTTTGTGCGGCCGTCTGTCTTCCCTTCACTTGGGAAGCATCCAGGATGGAAGTACAGGCTCCTGGGCTCTGCGCCCTGCTCATGCTGCTGAGTGGCCCCCAGCTCTGTGCTCTGCCCACGGCACGTGAGGGTTCCAGTGGCTCCACTCACGGGCTGCCACTGGTTACTGTCAAATTTTCTGTATTTTAGCTGCTTGAGAGTGTGTTTGCATAAGTCTTTGTGAAATGCTGGGGCTGGGTGCCTCCAGGGAAGCACTGAGCAGGAGAGCTCGAGGGGCCATCGACTGAGGGCGCCCGAGCCTGTGTGCGGCCACTGACCTGCCGTGTTCTGTTGCAGATGTACCGACTCACGCTGCGCACGAGTAAAGAGACCGTCTCTCAGAGGTTGTGTGAATTGCTGTCAGAACAGTTTTGATCAACGAGGATGGAGGATCAGGCTCCTGTGTGTTGCATTTTTCTTCATCTCTGTCATTTGTCTTCATTGCTGCAAATAAACAGCCCTGTCTACAGGCGTCTCTCAGCCTTGCTTCTCCAAACCGGATCCCTTTTGGGTCGGGATGGGGATACCAGTGTGTGTTTAAGAATGAGAGGCTGAGCCTGCACTGCAGTCGGGTCAGAAGAAGGGAGTGTGGGCCCCGGGTCAGTGTTCACAGAGGTCAGGACAGTTCTGTGCGTGATCTCCCAAGTAAAGGGAAATGACAAGTTTGATTGAAAAGGCAGATTTTTTGAAATGGTACCAAAACGCTTCTGCTCTGTTGCTGATAGTTCATCTCTGATTCTCTGAGAGAAGCAGGAGCAGCTTGTCTGTAGTGGGTGAGATCTTCACTAGGCCATTTGGCTCCTGTGGTGGGTGACGCTAGGTGCAGGAGATGTGTGACAAGGCCCACGGGCTGGTGCAGTGTGTCTGTGTGCGGCCCGGGTGCTATCTGCAGGGCCCTGGGTGCAGGAGCACCGTGCACGTTGGCTTGCTGCAGCGTCCGCTGGAGGAGTCTCGGGGGCACGGTTTGAAATTCAGAAGTTGGAAACGTTGTTTTTCATGACTACCAGAAAGACCGTGTATATTGACTGGGTTGAATTCTGTATTCCTTTTCCCTGCACTGTGGTGGTAACGGGATATAGGTAGTGCTGAGCGTCTGAGTATCTGAGGCCTTGGGTTTATGGCACGGCGGCGGGGGGTTGGTGCTGGCTCTCGGGGCTGGGTGGCCAGTCTCACTCATCTTTGGGCTTCGAAGAAGTGCACCATAACCATAGTCACCTTGGACTGGTTCCTGTTTTTGACCAGAGGGTTAAGTGTGGGCGGCAAAGCAGATTCTGGAAGGGGGGTGTGGGACCCTGTGTGGGTGGAGGACAGGCTCTGTGTGTGGTCAGGGAGCCGAGAGCCATGCCGAAGGTGAGCTGGAGCCCAGCCTCCGCGTGCTATTCTTGGCCTCGGCTCTCATGTGCCGTCACTGAGCTGCTTGCCAGGCAGCCCGTCTGCACCCTGGGGTGGCCGGGGCAGGAGCAGAGCTGAGCCAGGGCCTCTGTTCTGTCGGTGGGTGGCCCCAGAGAGAGCCAGGGTCCACTCTAGGTTCCCCTGGCTTATCAGCAGGAATTGGGCTCCTCAGAGGCATGCCATGGGGGAGCCCTGTGGGGTGGCCAGGGGCACAGGCAGCCCTTTGCTGCAGTGTGGATCTCGGGGAGGTAACTGGAGGGAGTCACAGTCTGGATGCTGGTGCCACTGCAGAGGCCCACACTCAGGGTCCTGTACCTATCACTCTGTGGGTGTGGGTTTGGGGGCTCACAAATGCCCCAGGCGTGTGGGAGACAACACAGGCAGAGTTTACGGGCCAGCCTCTGCATTGAGCAATGCTGGTTTATTTGTTATCTGTACCCAGTGGGTTTGTCGTGCGTGGCACATGTGATGCTCCTCCCCAGGGTGAGCTTGGTTGGTGGGCAGGTGCTGATGCTGGCTGGCACCTGCGTCCCCCCTCCCTCCCTTCTCCAGCTGTGGGGTCCTCTCCTCGCTGCTCTCCTTGCTGCTGCCCTGTACCTCTTCCCCACCCATCCCTGCTTAGGTGTCCTGCACCTCATGGGACCTGTATCCCCTTTTCTCAGGCCTCCCTCTAGAGTGGCCTTTCTCAACTGCCCCTACCGAGGTACCTGCTGCTCAGGCTGATTCTGGGGCCCAGTTCTGGGAGGGATGGGCGGCCACCTTCAAAGTTTGGGAGGCTACGTGGACAGGTATGCCCTGTATGGTATGATAAGGGGGCCACCAGTTTGTTCCAGCCTGCTGGGCTTGGTCAGGGTCTGCATTCCCTGCCTGGCAACCCCCTTTCCTTCAGGTGCCCTGGTAAGCCACGTGCG